TTGAAAGATAGAGCACCATAAAATGTAGAGAAATTAACAAAGATTATGGGAAGATCTTAGTATAAAACAAAACAAAGAAGGTAAACCTGGCACACAAGCGTGATTTGAAACACAACACACATCCACAACAATACATCCAGAAAATGTCAACTTTTTCTAGACCTTACCTAACAAACCAAACTGAGCAGAACATTTAAAAATAGTTAGAGAAAATATAAAGATTGTTTTTGAATATTTTACAAGCATAACATGGAAACACTAAAAATAATAGTGAAAGTATGCATTAATGAAATGTTGAAAGACCCTACCATTCACAGTCTCAGTTCTTCTTGGGAACATCCAAGGCTTCATACACCTGTTTTGGGGTATTTTCCAGTCTTCTCTGCAGAATCTCTCCAAATCATTTAGGTTTGATGACCAGCAATTGGAGATTTTTAGGTCACCCAAAGATACTCCAATTGAATCAATTTAAGATTTTGAATGGTAAGCAAGAGTATTCTATAGAGGGACAAGCTGACCTTTATTGTTTTGGACTGTTCAAGTAATTTGTTAAACAACATTGTAAAAGGAGGAAAAAGCCAGAGGTGGGTAATGACCTATAACATTTACTCAGTTACATTTCCTGGTGTAACTTAACTTATAAACATGTACTTTTATGAGTAGTTTAACTGCACCATAATTTTTACTTAAGTAAAATCATCATGATGTATTGCTACTCTTAGTTTAATAAAATCTGTGAGTACTCTACTCACTGTGTACTTTCATTGAAAAATGAACCACATTTAAACCCAAAATGCAGACAATGGCAAACAGTTAACTAAAGTATTTTGTACAAAATTTTTCTTGTTTTAATATTACTTTTTATCTGCTGAAACATGGAATCAATATAATAAAATTATATAAAAAATTACACATTGGAGGTATATTTAGTTCCAACACGCATACTTCATATACTGTTTACATTTGATCACTTTTGCACTTTAAGGAATGGTAATATCATGAAACCCGTACAAAGAGAAATTTTATTATGTATACGCTCTGTGTATTCAAAATGACAATAAATGTTGTCTAAACCTAAGTCTAAGTCTAACTTTAAGAGACGGATTCATGTAATTTAAAAAAAATGATTTTGAGAATTATTACTTTTGCATTATTATCATTTTTTTTGGGTATAAATTAGTCTGTTTTAGTCTTTCAAATCTAAGCAACTTTTAAATAACTTTATATTATAATCTGTCTGGTTTACTTCATTTTTAAACTGTTAAATGTTTACTCATTATTTGACAAACCCTTTTACCAAGTACTTGTTTTACTCCTGATTGATATATTGGACAGATACTTTTACTTTTGAGTAGAAATATGTTGAATTAGTGCTACTTTTACTTGAGTACTGTTTTCGGGACTCTACCCACCTCTGGTAAAAGCTCCAAACTTGAAACAGACAGGCTATCAGCTTTAAACAAAATGCCTATTTGTTGTTGGTCATCAATTAAGAAAAAAAAACTTTAACAGTGTAGAACTTCACACGGTAGGAACTGTATGAACCACTGCTGATAAACCAACTAAAAGTAGAGTTAAAAAGCCAGTAAGGTGAGTTACACTAATGATTTGTTCATTGTTTTGCTCAAGATCAAGAAGGCTTTTTGGAATTCTGTACTATAAGGTCTAAAATTAATCTTTTCTAATATAACAAAAAGAAAGCACTTTCTTTATAGCTGTTACTAAGACCTCATAATTACATTTCATGTTAATTTTTTTGTTCATTTAAGATTGGATTTTCTCTCTTTCAGTAAAAAGTTGATTGCATGTCCTGCCTCATATTCACCATGTTCTGCAAGTGTGTCGTCCAATGACTATAAAGTTTAAAAGATTAATTTGTTAAAGAATAGACGACGAAATATAAAGTAATGTTTAGAAAGGGATGAAGTACAGCGAGCATGTTCATTACCTATGGAAGAGGGCGTAAAGTGTGACATTGTGTGCATGAGGATAAGGGACGGACCTTCCCCTCCCAGAGTTCCCTCTGAGTATTAGGTTGTAGTTGTTAAAGAGCTTCTAATGGGATCTGGATGCTGTGGTGTTTACCGTACCCCCCCTTTGCACGCCCTCAGCATTGTGGAAGTTTCTGGGCTTAAGGATACCACAATGGGCTGAGTGAAGGGACAGATGGAGGTCTCTTTGGAAGAAGGGGCAGAAAAAAAAAACTGTCAAGGTAGGAGGGTCGTGGTGTCTGAGACTGCAGGCAGCCAGCATGCCCAACTGCAGACATGGGTTAACAGAGGTGGAGGAGGGTAAAGGGAGAACTTAATCAGGAATTCAAATCTAGTTATAAATGCAGTGCAGCACAAACTGGTTCTTTAGAAATGTATCTGAATAATTGGGTCAGAACATCTTTATAGTTATTTCTTGTGCTTCTCATCCCTTTCCTAAATCTGAATTTGCTAAACCAAATGAGTGAAGCTGAGAGGATTTGGATTAGAATGCAGTTTACTATCAGCTTTGAGAAGTTTTCATCTTGACTGATATAGTTTGATCTCAAAATATGATTTAAATCTTGTTTCACAAGGGTTAAACATTAAAATGTTAACGTTATTTAGTACAGGAGTCAGGGGAGAAAGGGAGGGGTTGTCTGATGGATGCTGATGAGGATTTTGGACAAGAGCTGGAGGAGGGTTGAGGGAGGTCCGGGTGGAAGGAGCAACAGATGGGGCCTGATGCAAAGCTCAGATTGTAAAGTTTCTGTTACAAACATCTGTCTTTCCATCTGCTACATTTTGTTGTTTACCGTTTAATTTCCTGAAATTTAAAATTGTGTTCATCTGTGCAATAATTTTCACATTAGGTTTTAGATGAGAGAATGGCAAAGTGTGTACTACATTTAATTAGGCAAGTATATTTTAAATTTATGGTGATTTCTGTCTACAAGTATGGGTTTGTGGGATGTAAAAAAAAATGTTTTATGTTCTCCACAAGATATATTTATTCTTTTCAAATATAAATTATGATATAAATTTAAATGGTTGGGGAGGTTTGAAGAAACTTTGCTGAATCACCCCCTGATTAATTCAGTTTAAACCTGGCATCAATTATCTGGAATAAAGCTCAAGTGTCCTGGCTGGATTTTTTTCCTGCATCCTTACATTTGCATCTTTTAGATTTTCAGAGGTGATTTCAAGGGTCAGATCTCATCATATGAATGTTGTTAGTCAGGAGAGGGGTACAATGTAGAAAGTATTTATTTAGTAAGTTTAGGAATTGTAGTACATTGATTGGAAAAGCTTATGTTTCTTTTCCTTTTACTTAACACAATCTCTCTCGCTCTATATATATATATATACACGCACACACATACATGTTGATTCTATACGTAGTGAGGACCATGCATTGACTTCCATTTGTCATTTTCAACCCTTTCTATGCACTAACCGTTGCTGATGCATACCTCATCCTAACCCAATTGACACCTTAGCTGCAAACCTAACCATTAGCTAAATACCTTGCAAGGAACAGCAGAATGTCCTCACTTTACAACTGGTTCTCAGTGATGGTGAAATTGGAAAAAGGGTCCTCACTCTGGTTTCTATACAAGTGCAAACATAATTGTGTGTGAGAGCCACTATGAGATTTAATGACTCATTTGTCATTTTAAGAGCTGGAATTATTCGTATTCCTTTTAGAGTCTTTCCAATATGGTTTTATTTGGAAAGCATAATATTAACTCATCTACTTGTTAGAAATAGTATGAGAATCAAGACTTTCACTAAAGGGACAGTTTCCTTTCATTCCTTTAGATAATCCCACCTGTCACACTTGGTGGTCCATCACTTAAAAAGAAGTGAACTGACACCACTTATAGGCATCAGCTCAGATGCTTACATATACAGTTACCGCTTCCCTTTCTCTCCAAATTAAACCATCCTTAACAGTCTGAGGGTCTTAAAATTACATAGAAATACACCCCCCCCCGACACACACACGTTACAGCCCTCCTTAAAGAGACTTTCCAATTGATTTCTGTTCATTTTTACAATCCAACCCAGACTCTTAGCTGAACTACATACCCAACCATAAACTCAACTCACACCTTAGTCCTAAACTTAACCCGGGAAAAGAACTGCAAGTCCTCATAATCTAACATATTCCTGGGAAATTAGCCATGCACTACACAACCACACTGCCAAAAAGAGATTTAACAGAATTAGGAAGTTCAATACATGGCCGTTTCATTCCAAATGTTACATCATGGGTTGGGAGGTATTTTACTTATTGTCTAAAAATACTCTTCAATTTGTTCTGTGAGCGGATCAAGGAGAATTAAGCAGCCGATCTGGGCTCAGTGGCCGGAGTGTTACATTAGACATTAATCCACAACAGGGGAAGGTTGGGCAAAATATTTTAATCCAGGACCATATCTACCCTGTTCTTCCATCAGTCACAGAGGAAGAGATACTTTAGGAAAGAAATTCTCCAATACTTTGTGCCAATGCTTTGTAGGATTTGTTAGATAAACATTTCTTGCACTACCGATTGTCAGCTGAAATATCCTGCACTTTTCCCACCCCAGCGCCCCCCCCCTCACATGCAAGAAAAGTGTCCTAGCAAGCCTTCTTAGTAAGCACTATCCCAATATGTAACAGATGTTAACGGGGCAACAGTTGGTATTGAAAAGGAGGGGCTTCAGGCCATCTGTCCAGGGTCAAGGTTTGAAAGGATGTGGGGATGATGGTGTGTTCAAGAAAATGCAAGTTTTTCAGTGAAAGGAGAACATAACATTGTAATCCTGCTCCAACTTGGGCATTTATATTAGAAGACATTTGATGTTTTCGATTCAGAGACTGGGAATTTCAGAAAGCAGTTTCTGACATGGTGTTGACCCCATACTGAAAGCTCAAACACCCCATCCAGTGGATGATAACAGTACTACAGGCTACATTTCCCTTCAAACTTTATTTCTCATTTAAAATGTAATTCCATTACACAGAAACAGAAGTTTATAACAGTTATTCTATTGATTCCAGCTGAGATTTTAGGCTCTCAAGTAGTTGATCAACAGCATCACGCATTGATGCCAACTTCTTATGACAACTTTTCCTCTGAAGAGAAAAAAAAAAAAAAAAAGTTAGAACTAAAAACTTGGTCTCATTCAATTTTTTTCAGTACTTACCAAATAGATCTTCAGCCTGTCTTTTTCTAGTTGAGTATATTCACGCACAGTGAGCTCAGTAAAGTCTTTCTTCATGGATAGGAATCCACAGTTAGGGGAGCGTTTTGCATGCTCAGACCTATATGGAAAATATGACTAAAATCAGAACTTTTCTTCTGTACATAATCATGATTTTTTAAGGGGATGATGCACTTTATTGCACGAGTGGAGGATTTTCTGAAGTTTTATTTTCACAATTCATCTTGCTAGTAAGATAAGGCTTTCCCATATGTCTCAAACATGTTAAATGGGTTTAACATTCCAATCCTGATAATTCTTGCACAATGTCAGGGGAAATATTTATGGTGTTAAATCTTTATATCAACTTTTATTCATCAGTTTCTGGGACTACTTTCTGGGACTGGACCACTAAAGTTCGTATAAAATGCAAAACGTCTGAAAGTCTCTACTTTTGGCTTGAACTGTGGACATCTCATGGTTTAGGACAGATGTGTTTCTCACCAGGGATCATCATCTGGCTCCCAGCCCTCTAGCTCGATAAGACAGAAGAAACAGCACGCAACGTCTGGTTCATTCTCACTGGGACAGTGGACAAAACCAGCCTTAGCCATCTGCAGATAGAAACACTGTTGTAACTTCTCATACAACTTATTGTAAAAAAAGAAAAATGTACTCAATGAAAGGAGCAAACCATCTGCTGAACCTTGGTGACAATTTTAAATTATTTCATGACCGACTGCAGGAAGAGACACTGGATTGATACAACTAAAATATACAGTATAAGCAGGTAAAGTTAATGATTCTTATTTTAGTGTAGTGTTAAACTAGTAAAACATTAAATAAAATAGAGAATAATCAATTCTAGCTTTAGGTCACAAGTAGTCAAGAACAAAACAAGTGATCTTTACAGAGTCTAACCTAACCAGCATGCATTTTATTCTGAAACTATGAGCAGTAACTTCTGTTGGCCTTTTTATTTATATTTTCTTTTTGAAGATCCAACAAAAAGAGTAACTATCTTAATTAGTTTGTAAAATCTTAAAATCTTAGACATAGTCCCTTTATAGTTATGATTTCTCACTCTCTTCCTAAATCATAACCAAGAGCAGCAAAATAAATCTTATATATCCTATATTGTTGTTTTATTCAGATGTTCTTCAAGACATTCCAATATGATGAGTCTGATAACACTGAGACCCTCCTACCTTTTCAGGTGTGCAGTTGCAATCTTCTCTAAATGGCCAGTCTGCAAAGCTCTGCTCCCGCAGATCATGATTGTACATTTGGTCATATGCAAAAAACCTGGATGTCAGCACATCAATGCTCACCATACCTACTGCTGCTACAGCCTCAGGCCAACATGGATTTAACTCCCAGTCCCTGAGTTGGGACTGTTGTATATATGTGTGCCAACAGCTCAAGCTTCCCTACACATCTCTGCAGGTGTTTTCACTTTTGACTTGATTAAATGCTGCTCAGGTTCAGTGAGGGGAGGGTTATAGCTGCAGCAAAAAACTAAATTCTCTCAGATTATTACATATGAAAATTTCACCTCAATCATACTCTTGAAAACTATTTTTGTTTTTAATCCCTAAATATATATTTAAAATCAAACTCAGAAAATATACTCTAAAACATGTAAGAGGATTCAGGAGTTTGACTTTGAGAAATGAAAACAGCACATTTCTAAATTAAACATTCAGTCCATGATTTCTAATTATGATTAAATATTAAATAGCTGGTACCTGTATGGCTTATATTAAGTTTATGTGTTTTCTGAGTCAGACTAAGTATACATATGCACCTGGAAAATTTTCTATAAAGAAATACTTAAACCAAATAAACAATATAGATATATTTTCAAAAAGTGCATGTTTTTTCACAGAGAGATTTTGGACTAGACACATGAGCCAAAACCTCAGACACTTACAGTAAGTTGATACAATCCCATCTCATGCTACACTCACGGTTTTCTGTTTATTTTTAGGTGACCATTTTTTTTTTTTATAGATAAACACAAAGTAGTAGAGTCACTTTTCTATTATTTAACAGTTTTTGGCTTTAAATGTTTTTTTTTTCATATTCATTGATAAAGAATTATTACATTTTTATCTACATATTATATCTATATTAACATGTTAATTTATAGTTAATAGGAGATCCACAAAATAAAACAATTGCATTTTATTTTTCAAAAGATCAGCCACCCAAGGAAAGACCAATCACATACAGAGAGGATGTGCAGAACAACTCAGTGATTGATAGAAGAGGAACTACAGGGATGTTCTCATTCTTTTATATCTTATCGTATTCATTTATTCTTATTTTGCTCCATTAAACATGTTTAATGGACCAACAAGAAACATCCAGAGAAATACTGTCTTGTGTCATTGCGAGTTTTTATAGAATCTACAGCCTCTCAGAAGGTCTAAATTGTCAATTGCAAAAATCTAATAAGATAATCAGTTAAGCTTTTTAATCCTTAGCCTATCACCAAATATTCATACACAGTGTAGTTTGCATGGGATTTGATTGCACTGGTTCCTGTATTAGTCCCAGTAATCCAGTAGTAACTAATTTGGTTCCCATTGATTATATGACTAGAGCTGCATAGAATTAATAATAAACACTGTTGTGAAATTCTTAGTTTACAGTAGATGCAAGTATTTTAGTAGGGCCCATACTTTTACTTCAATTCTCTGAAATTCATCAGAATATAGAAAATAGTGTATATTGTGTGAAAATGTTCAACATAACCATGGATCACTTATTATCATTCAGTAACATTTACTGTGCTATAACATTCCAATTTTTTTCACTTAGTTTCAGGTAACGGTTGTAGGTTTTCAGAGGATTTACCTGCAACTGTTCTCATAGCCTTTCAATCTAACCGTGACAAGGGTTGCCTGTCTAAACTATTTCAAAAACTCATTCCAAGGTTTGGTGAAAAGTTGGCAGCCTTGATTTAGCTCTAAGAAGTAGTAGTAACAACCAATTGGAATCTATTTACAAAAATAGGCAAATTCTAAAAACAGCTGGTTGATTTATGTTGGGCTTCCAGATTCAACTGCAAAGGTGCAACTGCACCACAAGGATCTTTGGTTGTTTTATTTGTGAGGAAAATGTAAATGTTTTCATCTAGTTACAAAGAAATCTAAGAATTAAATGTGACAAAATTGGAAAAGGGCTATGAATAATTTTGCACAGTATTCTTTCTGTTTTATGTAAATGTTGACTGAAAAGTCAACATTTACATAAAATCCAAACACAGTTCTTTAGCCATATTCATCCTAAGCTTTACAAGCTTGTTTATTACTGTGAGAAATTGAGATGACCCGGTCTGCAGCAAGTCTCTGTAATATTACCCCTCAGGCCCCTGAGTGCTGACATGTGTTTATAGCTGTACACTGAGGTCTCGTCTACTGCCAAAGTCCCAGCAACTTTAAATTTTGTGGGCTGCATGCAGTGGAGATGACACACCACATGGCTACTCATAAGGCTGGTGGTTTAATACATTTATTTTTTCGCTACGAAGTTACTCTGACAGGTGATACTGTGTGAGGCTGCTTTAAGCTGCAGGTTTACTGTTCTAAGGTCTGGTCATAGGCTGCTTTCTGCATGTCCTGCATCTCTGTTTTACCATGGTCATCATACTTTTTTATATGGATCTGATCATTGTTTTTTTTTTCTAAACCCCCTCTTGGCTTTGTCTATGGTGACATGTTTCATGAGATCCTTGACTTTTTAACCACAAAATGTTTCTGTTTCATCATTCATAACATGGAAAAGGTGATTTTACAACAGTTTTGACTGTTACTTTTTTCAGGATTTCTCCTAACACAGGTTCATGTTTCCTGTTGATATAAAGGCCTTGCAGCCTACCTGGTCCTGCATTAAACAATCTTCTGACATAACTGTCCTCGCCTATTAAGGCCTACTAAGATAAGCTGCTGGAATCTCCCGCTGCAGGCTTTGTTTTCACATAGAGTTGACACTAAGGGGGAGGGAGAGACAGAGGGGAGGGGGTATGATGCAGAGTGGTTGATGGGAGGTGACACAAGCTATGTGTATGTCATCTGTAAGTCCACACGTTCTTTTGGACAGCTATCATACCTGCTGTTTGCAGGTGATCTGGGAACTTATCAGATCAAAAAGAACTTTAGTTTTCTTGTGTCTCAAGACACTAGATGGTGGGCAGGAACTCATAAAGCTCTCCCAGCATTCCTTGCAAGGATTGGAATTTGATCACAGAGGACTGGCTGATCAAAGACGTAGCCAATGTGGAGCACAGGTAAGAAATTACCCACTCTTTGACCCTCCACTGCTCGTGTCTGTGTCCATGGAGGGTTTCTTTTTCTAAACTAACCAATTATTTCTATTATTAACAAATTGAGTTTTGAGCTTTGAAATATGTTTAAACCTTTAAAACAACTGTATTGATGTGAAAGTATCAGTATGAATCATGTGTTCACTGAATATCTGTGCTCCCCTGACAGATCTAGCTGACTTCTGCTGCTCTACAGCTTAAACCCATCTTAAAACATTGTAAGACGTTTGTATTTGCAGGAGCTTACAGAAGCATACTTAATGCTTTATTTCTATTAGACCATGCTTTAAGTGAAGATGACATTCATTGGCACCCTTAAATGTTCTTTTAATAATCCTGCCTTTAAATCGACTAATTCTTACTTTAACAGAGAAATAAAAGCATTAAAAATAAAATGTTCCTTTCATTATCTAATGTGATATAACTTCATATACATAAAAAAAAAAAAAATTAACACAATAAATATTTTAAAAAAATCATCCCTTTTTAAAAGAAATCAAAGTTTTTCTAAAACCCTCTCAATGCAAATCATGGTTTTCCTTAGTGTATGATTCAGAGGTCAATTATCTATTAGCATGTTCATGTCTGGATTATAACCCATATTTATCTTTCCACTGTGCACAGTGAGCAGCAGAGGTCAAGACAAAAACGGATCAAAGACAGTTCAAAGACCAGGATGTTGGGGTCAAAAACAACCACAAGACTCTAAATCAACTGGTTGTCTGTTACTATGTTAAAGTTTTTAGTTCTACTAATACAAATGCAAAAAGATGAACATCTGGAAAAATTCCTCATGCCAATGGTGAGGTATGATGAATGATCTGTGATGCTGAGGGATTTTTCACACAGCATAATAAACTGCTTAACAGATCAGATTATTTTACATGTTATTCTAGCTTGATATTGAAAAAGCTGAAAAATGGAAAACTGGGATAGTGATTCACAACATCTTGCAAAATCAAGAGGGAACAATAAACCTGAACAGTGAGTCAAGCCTTTTCCTTACAGAAGTTAGTCCTAAGCCCAGATTTCTAAGATGAACAGTGTGGAGAGATGGATAGAGCAAAGAAGAAAGGGACCCACTTTTCTGGAGGATCTTGAGAAGTTAAGAACGATAAATATTAACAGATCCTTACTCTGGTATAATGATGAATGATTATTGAAACAAAGTGCTATGGGTTCGCAGCATCCAAATTATTTAGCCACAAGAGATATTCTATAAACAAATGATCTTGTGATGTTTTCCCTACTAAATAGGTTGATTAAAAGTCTAGAAAATTTTACATTTATTTTTTTATGAAGTGGAAAATAAACTTATTGTGTCTGTGGAGAGCTGATAGGGTACGCAGTCCTATGCAGAGAAAATGCTGACACTTGTTCTCACTGTCATCTGAGGAATGTCAAAGCCTTAAAAATAGACTGGGATCTGGAGGAATTACATTTTTCTTCATAAACACTATTACAAACTAAAATAAAACATCACGTTTAAACTGAGAGTGTCATTGAAGCCTTAATTTCATGCAGGTTTCAATGACGTGGGTGTTTTTGGGGTCAAAGTGTGATGTGAGTCTGTCTGGAAAGAAAGACATGCTGTCCACCAGTGGTGGTGTGAAAACATCAGGGGTGTGTGAGAGTGTGACGGTCAACATCTACATTCTCCATCTCTGCAGGCAAGGATTCACAGGTCAGCCACACCCTCGTCTATCAGCACATCCTAGGAAATCCCACAGTCTCCTTTCTGACCTCTTAATTGGAAGAGGTGTGTTGGGTTCTAGTGTGAGAGAGCGAATTTTAATAATTCATAAAAAAATATACAAGACAACTCAGACATGAAATGAATTAAAACGTAAAAAGGATGTGTTTTAAGTAATAAAATGGAAAACTTAGTCATATTTTTATACCAGCTATGTGACCTGCTTAAAGGTTTACACTGCAAAAAATTGAAATCTAGATATGTCAATTTTTCTTAAAATAGGTAATTTTCTTCTTGAATTTAGGAGGTAA